GAATTATGTCTAGGTATGGTCTCCTGTCTTCTTTTGGATTGTATTACTCGCAACCATTAACAAGATTTAATTTCTGTACCAATTGAGTTACAGAGTGGCACCTGTCAGGGATTTCTTGATTGTTTTTTGGTTGTTATTTGATTTAATTCTTGAACCATTAGCAATTATTGTTAGGCAATCTTGCAATATCACTGGAATTACAGTGGTGGACTGGGTATAAACTTTTTTTTCTATGCTAATGATATCCTGGCAATACTGGATAATTCTTCTACATCATTGCCTAATTTGAAATGGGTGGTTCAACAATTTGGAAAATACTCAGGTTATAAGTTTAATTGGGAAGTATCTAAATTGTTTCCTTTGGGATCTGAGATACCAATAAATCTTAAGATGTTGGGATTTGTCTTATGCACCGAATATGTTAAATGTTCTCAAGACTCCCTTTCTCAAGAGGCCGTCCTTGGACCTTCCCTTTTTAAGGTACAGTAGATTGTTGAGAGGGTAGGAATCGCTCAGCTCCAAAGGGCCCTAGAAGAAACTTACCCAGTCCCTGGAGGCTGTGAGGATCTGGATGGGGAGGAATTGGCTGTGACTCAACCTTAGCAAGATAGAATGATAGAGTTTTGGGGTCTCCTAGATCTAGAAAGTTACCATCTTTTATTCTTGACAGGGTAGTATTCCAGCATTAATCCAAGGTTTTAAAAGATTGTTTCTTGAAATTGAAATTAATCCATCAAAAGTCTATTGGACTCCTCAAAGAACATATCAAAAAGGATGGATTGTAGATTTTCTCTGCTGGTGATGTAAGAAATCTGAGGGTACACTAACTCATGTGATTTGGTCATGTCCGGTTTTGGTTTTCTTTTGGAAGAATATTGTCACATGTATAAGTAGATGTATAAACAAACATTTCCAAATTATTGATGTCAATGTTGTGTTGAAATACATTCCAAAATTGTGAAATCTGACTGTTTTTGAGGATTATTGGTTATATCATCTGTGGGAAATAGCCAAGAAAATTATATTGAAAGATTGGAAAAGCAATATTACTCCAGATATCAAAGACTGGATTCAAAAATTTGTATTTTATCTATTTTTTAAAAGGCTATTTTTTTCTACTAATAAAAAAATGACACAATATTTTCCTTTGGGAAAGATTTCATAATATTTTACAAAATTTGTATGCCCAATTTAATATTAAACAATTAAATGATGTAATATTTAGGTGATTTATA